TGGGACTGAGTTGACCCCGACTGAGCTATTTTCGAGTCAACTCGGTCCCAATCCATGTCAGTTCGAATCAATCATTACCAAGTCAACTCTGGACCACCTTAACTCGGTCTCAGGTCTACTTGGTCCCAAGTCAACTCGGCCCCACAATAACGTGCTGGGGAAAAATGCTCTAGCAGTTGTGTCAAGGCACTGGGAGCGAAAATCAAACTGCGTCATGTTGGGGGCCGTGCCATGTTAGGGTACATCAACATCAATCTTTCTGATATTTATTTGCTTTGTCATTGTAATTTTGTTCATTTGTTGGCCGAATAAATAATAAAAATAATAATAAAACGCGTTAAAGTGCTTACATCATACACCGCTGAGGTTACGCCTTGCCGAGGTCACGCGTTTCAACACAAACCTTGCCTTATATATACATGCCCACAAAATGACAGCATCGTTAAGTAACGTTCACAGTTATATATTTTATTTTCCAACGGATAAAAAAAATGATGAAAAAGTGACCACCGTGCTATAAGCCCAGGTTTGTGTGGAACGCGTGACCTCGGCAAGGCGTGATATCTGCGGTGCATGACGTAACCGCTTTAACGCGTATTGTTGATGTACCCTAAAATGGCACAGCCCCATAACATGGCACAATTTGATTTTCCCCCTATAGTGCCTTGCTAGAGCATTTTCTCCCCCATCAAGTTAATGTGGGACCGAGTTGACTTGGGACCGAGTTGACTTGGTAATGAGTTGACTCGAACCGACTTGGATTGGGACCGAGTTGACTCGAAACCAACTCAGTCGGGGTCAACTCGGTCCCAAGTCAACTCGGTCTCAGTTGCCAAACAAAATAGGTGGAGAAAATTTGATTCACAGAACGTGATCTGTCTTTTTTTTGTATGATGCGTTTTCCGTGGTTAACCTTTTAATGTACTTATTTGGTTTATTCATTGATTCCGAGGTTGTACGATTGTACCGCTCTTGCTTGAAGCAGCGTGTTTCCTCGCAAGCCGCTGCCGCAGCAAGTCGCTCCTTGCCCGCTGTACTAGCGCCACATGCACAGTCACGCGCGCCGTATACGCGTAGTTCCGTGCGATACTTATGGCCATCGTGACTATAGCGTTGTGCATACCTAGTCTCCGCTACTTTTAAGAATCATTGACGTGAAATATAGTTTAGATCATTAATTATGACGAGGTTTTATCAAATTTGAGGCCATTTTCGATAGCTTCAGTGGCGCAAATTAAAATAAATCAGACCCAAAATACACAAAAATTATACTATATGTTTTCTATAGCGATCGCGGTGCGGCGACCCCCACTCAATCCGACAATGCACTGCGGTAAACATTGCGTGACGTAATTAGTACAAAGGGTTATTGGCGAGTTGGGAACGGTCGGTAGCAGGGGCGGAGGAACGGGGGGGGGGGGGGGGACATGGGGCACTTTCCCCAGATTTTTCCAGGCCAACAAAAGTGCCTCTCTCGCGGTTATAAATGTGCCCCTCCAGATGAAAACAAAACTGCCCCTCAAACACCCACATGAAAGCATATGATCGCGCTACAAATAAAATACAATTATCAACAACACAATTGTGCCCCTCTCGAGATGAATAATTGATGGCCATCAAAAGCAACAGTGCCCCTATCGAGCTGAGCAAGGTAAGAAAAGTACTAGATATTTTTGTTTCTTGGAAGAGCGTTCTTGTGAACGGAAGAATATCTAGAGGTTGTATATGATGCCAGGGATGATAGTCTCACTGATAATGATTCTATTTTGACTGAAATCCATGCCGGTATTTTTATCAACAGCTTTATTCTCATAATACTGACTGTTCTCAAATTAGTCTTGACCAGTTTTTTTTAATAACTTAGATGTCCCTCAGCTCTCTTCTGATAATCAAGCTTGCCTTGAGAAACCTGTCACCAAAAACGAATTGTAGCCTACCATACTCTGAATTCTATAAAGCGAAACAAATGTCCTGGTTTGGATGGTTTGCCTGTCGAATTTTATATTGTTTTTTTTTGGCAAGATATCAGTAATTTATTAATTAACTCTTTCAATTATTTTCTTGAAAATGGTTGTTTGTCTCAGTCTCAAAGAACTAACATTTTTACATTGCTCCCAAAGAAAGACCGAGACTGCCTTAGAATTAAGAAGTTTAGACCAATTTCTTTACTTACAGTTGATTATTAGCTTATCGCTAAGACGCTGGCTGATCGCTTAAAACAGTATCTTAATGATCTTATTCACTCAGATCAATCAGGTTTTTTTCAAAGGAAGGCCCATTGGTGATAATATTAGGTCTTTGGACATAATAGAGTATGCAGACATCTATTCCATTCCTGGTGTTATTTTGTTCTTGGATATTGAGACAGCGTAAATAATAACTTTTTATTCAAAGTTTTAAAACACTTCAATTTTGGGAATAAATTTATCCACTGGATTCAGTCTTTTTATTTTTGCAGGAAGACTTATGTAATTAATAATGGTTTTCTCACCCGTCCAATTTCTTTGGAAAGAGGTACATTTCAGGGTTGTCCAATATCCCCTTATCTCTTTCTTTTGGTTATTAAGATCTTGGCTATTGAAATTAGACAGAACCAAAATATTCATGGTATTCTTGTGGATGATCAGAAAGTGAAAGTTTCCTTGTTAGCTGATGATATTACTTGTTTTCTGGAAGGCTCTATTGCTTCTTTTAATAATTTATTTGCTACACTTGATCAATTTGCCAATTATTCAGGTCGCAAAGTTAATTTTTCCAAATCTGAAGCTATATGGATTGGCTCAAAAAAAGGGAGCCATAATTTTCTTTTTGAAGAGATTGGTTTAGAGTGAAAAACTACTCAATTTAAGACTTTAGGCATTAATTTCTCTTTGAACTTAAAAATCTTTGCTTGAATTGAATTATAAAATAAAACTTAAAAATATCGAGCAGACCCTTAATAGTTTGCGATCAAGATATCTGTCCTTAATTGGGAAAATTTAAAATCCCTCCTGTTGCCTCAGTTACTTTATCTTTTTTCTGTTCCGTGTATTAAACCCCCTGCTTCCTTTTTTTTTTAAAGAATTGGACAAATTATTTTTTCAAATTCATATGGAACCATGGAAGTGACAGAGTGAAAAGGAAAAGCATGTACACGTACTACTCTGGGGGGGGGGGGGTCTTCGTTTGATAGATCCTTTTATTGTTTGTCAAGCTCAGAACATGGCTTGGGTTAAAAAACTGCTTGATGACTCCTACACTAGTACGTGGAAAACAATTGAAGTTGCTTCTTTGTCTGCTTTTCACCCAAACAAGGATTTGTTTTCTGGAAATGTAATCAACCTGAGAATCTTTGGGTCAGCTAAAAAATACTCAGGTAGCTGACTCTATTAGGACTTGGCACTAAGGAAAAGGCTATTATTGACATGCACAATGAAATTCTGTGGTTCAATAGACATATTTGTTCAAAACAAGTTAGTATTACTTTTATTTTCAAGAGTGGTATGAGAAAGGTATTATTTCTGTGAAGGATTTATTGAATGAACCAAAACCCAATATTTTATTATTTGAGGAACTAATAATTGATTATGATATTTCTTAAACGGACAGAAGAAAGTATAACTCCTTACTGTATCAGGAATGGTGTTGAGTATAAACATAAAGAGGGTTATGATATTACAATTATTTTAAAGAATAACCTAATCATGGTCAAAGAAATCCCTAAGTATACTTACAACATTGTGATTTATCAATTCATGTCGGAAAAGCAAAAGACATTTTGGAATAGTGCTTTAAATATCAATTTGGAGAATGAAGACTTGGTAGGGATTAATACGCGTAATATTAAATGTACTACTGAAACCAGACTGAGATCGTTTTATTTTAAGACGTTCCATGGGGCCATTGCCTTTAATAATTTTCTTTTCAAAATAGACAGAAAAGAGTCCCCAAACTGTTCTTTTTGCGGAAAGTATCCTGAAACTTTACTTCATGTGTTTTATGATTGTGAATGTGTCACATCAATCCTGTCAGACCTCCTTTGTTTCATAAATCCAAAACTACTCGATTCTTTTCAAATTGGGAAATTTAAGATATTATTTGGTGTTCCCAATTTATTTGGAGGAAGATGTTCCGTCAAAATTTATCTGATATGTGACACTTACAACTTCATTTGGATGAGATTAGTTCATCCAAGAGTGAAATTAGGATGTCAAAGGTATTGTCGTTCTCAGATTAGTGGGAGACGGGTTGGTTTAGCCGGGGCTGGAACAAAGTTGGATGTTTTACTTCAAGCTATTTTCTCAGTAGGGGAGAGTGATAGCTTTGAGAGGTTGGTTATGAATTGCTAATTCTTTCCGTTGGTTAACTTGGGACAGCCGATGGAGATTTGAGCAGGCATGACTGGGCAAATCGTTAAGAGGAAAATCAACGCTTCTTCCAAGAACAGCACCTCGAAGCCCTCGACCAAATCAAGGGCCAACTCCTCACCAAGGGAAACATCGCCACTGCCCGTAAACTGCTCAGCCATTTCCTACGTGAGCGGTCTACCAAGCAACCAGCCAAGCGGCACCGCTAAACCACCTCCGGTCTCCATCTAACACAAACGGCTCTTTTCAGAGCCACCACCTCTTCCACCCCACTGCCTGGGTAAGCTTGGCTACGGTCAATACGCTCCACATTTTGAGAGCCCTTTAATGTGTCTGAATTGACGAAATAAACCACACAATGTCACACCATCGAATAATTCAAGGTGTTGTTCTTACGCACATTATTTACAAGCCAATCTACACTGTTATTTCGGTTGTGTTCATATAGTACCGTACCGAAATAACAGTGTATAGGAGAGGCGTCTCGAATGGGATAGAGCCATCATTGCTGATGGCTGAGGATCGTGCCTATGAAAACGTATCCCTTCACCGAGTGTGTGTTGTGACCGGCCGTAACCAAGTCAGTTGCATACAGGTAGGTAGTCTAAGGTGGATAATGGAGATAACAAATTGACATTTACTTCATGTACTTACGATTCGGTTGCAGTAATTAAAAGCAGCAATGTAAGCAGCGTCAACTATCACTATCAGCCGTAGGGAGCTGGACCGAGTGCAGTCATCTCGCGATATCTCACGTTAAGCTGTTACACACCGAACAGCGGTGGTACATGAGATGAACAAATAGGTGTGGTCTATCTGCTTAATCTCAGCCGCTGAGACCTAGCGTAGTTGTCAGTGCAAAACACTCGGCAGAACTAGCTACCGCGACTGATGATGAAACTCGCTTCGTGCTCGTAACGCATGGGAACAGGCAGGTGATGCTGCGAAGTTGGATTGTTTCCTTTCAATGCTTGAGCTTATTATACTTTCACACCTCCTGCATAATTATTTTTTTTTCAAGCTCATTTTGGAGCATATGGCAGTTTCAACCCTTAATAACTTGTGGGACCAAATCAACCAATCCTGAAGTTTCACACATGTTGATACTTGTAGTGAGCTTTTGGACAAGTGTAAGCTCTGCGTGCACGTGCGCAGTGCGCACGAGTAGGCCTATTGACCTATCGCCGTTTGCGAGTTAGCCACGCCCCTTAGACAACCGTATGGAATTATTTACGTTAAGTTTTGTTTGTCTCAGATTCCCATATAAATGTACGTTATCCCGTTCGTGCCAGGTTTTAAAAGTAAAAAAAATATATTCTTACGAAATAACGCAATAGTATTGCGAAGTAATGTTATAGTATTGCGAAATAACGCAATACTATTGCAAAATAACGCAAAAGTATTGCGAAATAACGCAATAGTTTTGCGAAATAACGCAATAGTTTTGCGAAATACGCAATACTATTGCGAAATAACGCAATAGTTTTTGTTAAATAAACCCAATGTTTTTGCGAAAAAATGCATGAGTCCGTAAAATTCTGGATTTGTAAAGGGGATAAGCGGAAGACAAATATTAAATGGGATCAAAAACCTAAAGCAATGACTATAGATTGTTATTTCACGAATCGTAGGGAACATTGGGATTTTCTACCCAGTTGGAATTTTTCCAGACGGAAGATGATGGTTAATCATCCCAACCATCCCCATAACCCACCACTGCCTAATGACCCCCATAAAACACGTTTTAGCTTTAAGAACAAATAGAGACTTAAAAGTACAGTTCTTTTTTAAAAACTTTTAAAAATTCGTTCAGTTCTTTAACAAAAAAACACTTTTCTAATTCATATCAGTGTACAGCTTTGGTGATTCTTGATGCAAGGCGTCCTTTTATCAATTGAAATTGAATGGACCGGTTATGTAATGTTGGGAGGGGGTTAATATTGCGGGGAAAACATTTTAAAGTTGGAAAATCATTCTTATGTAATTATCATTCGTTGAAATGTATTACTTTTCTTCAGCGTGGTGGAATATTGATGCATCCCTCCCCCCAACCCAAACAACCATTCCTCAAAACGTATCATTATATCAGTACAATTTCCCCTGCATTGTTACAATACGAATGCACCGTGGATGCACCATTAAATTCAAGTGATTATTAACATTCTAAAGTATGTTTCCTTCAGGTGCATGGGTAAAACGCAGTACTTGTAGTTGCGAGGGAATCATTCAGGTCTCTTCTGTCAGCACGCGTTCGTGCTCTGTGGCCATTTTGAGTCGGTTGTGTTTTAAAAAAATCAGAACGCACATGATTCAATAGGGGGGGGGGTGTGAAAAGAAAATAAAGCCCTTAAAACGTGTTTCCCCTTCCCCCCGGGCAAAAATGCCCCAGAAATGTCTATTATGGCAGCTATTATGGCAACGACGAGAGCACAATGGAGAAAAACGCAATGACGGACAGGAACTTCAAGAACATTTCATCAAAATGGACAAATAAAGGCCAAACTGAACATCCGGGCTGAAGTTTGTACACGACAGTATTGCGTTATTTCGCAATACATTTATTGCGTTATTTCACAATACTATTGCGTTATTTGGCAAAAGTATTGCGTTATTTGGCAAAAGTATTGCGTTATTTGGCAATAGTATTGCGTTATTTGGTAATACTATTGCGTTATTTCGCAATAGTATTGCGTTATTTTGCAATAGTATTGCGTTATTTGGCAATAGTATTGCGTTATTTGGCAATAGTATTGCGTTATTTGGCAATAGTATTGCGTTATTTGGCAATAGTATTGCGTTATTTGGCAATATACTATTGCGTTATTTCGCAAAACTATTGCGTTATTTCGCAAAACTATTGCGTTATTTCGCAATACAAATATTTTTTTTTTTACTTTTAAAATCTGGCACGAACGTTCTTCCGTAGAAATGCACACATTCCATACTGGATGTGATTTCTTTTCATTGCGGACCATGTTAAACGGAGAGCTGGATAGTGTTTATTCAAAATTTCGGGGAAAATCCCCTGATTGTCTTAAAGCATAGTATCATCGACCCTGATCACAAAATGGCCATTCTTAAGTTTCGCCAGATCAGACTAAGGCCCATTGGCGCCATGCAAAATTGGGCCAATTTAATCAAATTTTTGAGAACAAGAACGAAACCAGTATCATTTGATAGCTTGGAACTTGTAGATTATGGAAATATAACTTAGGAATGATTTTAGATCAGACTAATTTAGAACGGCCCGAAATACGCAGGGGGTGGGCGTGGCCGTCACCCCTCCTTTTCCTTTTCGCTGATACAACGTTACAACGCAACGGAAGGAGAGAACATGAAACTAGTTTGTATTGATGCCTCAACATTCATGGAATATAACAATATAACTTAAGAGTGGTTTCAGGTCAGACTAATTACCTTAAGAGCGACGGTGACAGTGCGGAGGGGGCGGGGCCTCAACCCCCACCATGTACGTATTTTGGCTCCTATCGTCGCAAGACATTTTTAAATCCTGCCAAGTTTCTTTGACAGTTGTTGTGATGTCTTATGAAAAAAGTTTATGAAAATAGGGCATACCTTCGTCACAATTCAAATGTCCATTTCCAACACAGGTAGGCCTAAATGTTAATTGTTCTCATTGAAAAGTACATGCACATGAACGCGTGCATTAGAGTGCCGACAAACAGATCGGATTGAAATTGTGCAAATACGGGAAACGGAAAAATCAAACCATTTTTATTAATGCCTTTGCACTCATGGAACATGAAAATATAACATAAGAGTTCTTTTTATTCAGACTAAATAATTTAAGAGCGGTGCAAACAGCAAGGAGGGGGCGGGGCCGCAACCCCCCTCCGTGTACATTTTGGCTCCTATCGTCGAAATGCATTTATTAAATTCTGCCAAGTTTCTCTGACAGTTGTTCTGATGTCTTGTTGTTATTTTGACACCAAGTTTATGAAAAGAGGGCATACCTTCGTCACAAAATGTTCAAATACCAAAACAGGTATAGGCTTAAATGTTAACTTTTCCGTTACATGCTCCATAAAGTACATCGGAGGGCGCATGAGAGTGCCGACTAAGTGACCACGACAAAAACACAGTTCAACAGGATGAATTGAAACTTCACAGATGTACTACAATTATTCAGGTGGCCACCTAAAGAATTTACGATGTGGGGAGCGCATATCAGACCTCCGTTGCCCTGGGACAGGTCAATAATTTTTGTGTACCTTGTCATTTTATTTAATTCTTCAAAACTTCTGATTTATAATCTTTGCACGGAATCAAGGTAGCCAAAGCGCTTTGCCCAACCATGAAACATTATTTCTGGCTCACGATAAACAGCAACAATTTGTACAAATCCTTTTACCAAACTCACTGGTGCACTGTTGAAATGTTTGTCCGGCGTGCCTCTTATAATTTATTTATGTATGTTCTGTTGTGCCTGCGTCGCTGCGGGAATGAAAACAAGAGATATGGGGAATGAAAACAGGGGATATGGGGATCAGATCAGAGGCGTAGCCAGCGGGGGAGAGGCGGGGGAGGGGGGGGGGGGTAAGGGGCGTATTTACCCCCTCCCAATATTTTGTAAAGACTGCCATTTTCCAATCAAATGCCCGTTTTTACCAGCGCTCACCTCCCAATATTTTTTAAAGAGTGCCCTTTTTTTTTAATTTCGCGCATGTATCGCCCTGAAAGGCACCATATATTGTCCATTAGTGTGCACAATCGTCGGTTTTGAACAGCGCCCCCATTGACCGATAGTAGCCCCCCCTCCATATTTCACTATTTGATATTAGGGAGGCCAAGTGTCCGGAGAGAAAAAAATGTGTCTTCATTTCAGCACGAATGTGCAAGTGCCCTTTACAAGAAATTTTTACCCGCCCCCAATACAAATGACCGTGCTACGCCGCTGCAGATGCTCTAAATAACAAAATGGTCTTTGGGTCTGAATTCATGAGATCCAGTAGAACAATGGTCAAAATTAATTTCTGTTTCATTATTTGGACTTGTGACATAAAAAAGTTGGCATTGGGAAATGGGCATAGGCCTACAATGCCCGCTGACCTCTCACCTCTCGAAAAATGATAAATCGAAAATATGCTGGAAACATGGGCGGATCGGGGGGTGGGGGGGGGGGGGGGGGGCAACGGGGGCCATGTCCGCCCCCAAAAACTGAAACAAATTTTTTTTTAAGTGGCGTCGCAATAAAGGCAGGCACTGCGTACACCTTTTTTTAAGGGGGAAATGTGCTTTGCCCCCTTTAAGAAAAAATCCTGGCGACGTCCATAATTTCAACAGCTATGAACTTTTCCTACCTTTGAAAGCTCATATCATGGTAAGAATTCATATAAGATTACATATAGGCAAATATGTTTTATGCTTTAGTCTCAAATATTTGACCTTAACAGCTCTGTCAACCTTAAGGTTCAATTAAATATTTAGCTGCAAACCAGAAAACAAGTGTGCACTATATAATTGTTTCAATTTGCCAGCTCCTGATATCAAATCAAATCAAATCAAATCAAATCAAATCAAATCAAATCAAATCAAATCAAATCAAATCAAATCAAATCAAATCAAATCAAATCAAATCAAATCAAATCAAATCAAATCAAATCAAATCAAATCAAATCAAATCAAATCAAATCAAATCAAATCAAATCAAATCAAATCAAATCAAATCAAATCAAATCAAATCAAATCATCTTTATTATATCCCACTGGGGTAATTTAAAATGCTCGCATACAATAACACCATCGACACATTATAAAACACAGTTACATATACAATTGCACGAACAATAAAAACGAACAATCAATAGATTAAAATTAACGCTGGAACATAAGATTGTGTTGGTTTATTGCACGAGGAATGAAGGAGGATGAATGTCGGGTTGTCGCAGCATATCGTCACCGTTTTCACGAACAGGCAAATTTAGTATTTCACTATCTGAACAAAAATTCGATATAATCGCGTTTAAAGTTGTTTTTTTTTCATTTGAAAATTTA